CAACCGTGAAAGTGACATGCAGATTAGCTTCTAGGCCTTATTAATTTACTTTACGCATTTAAGTATTGTTTCGAGACTACCAGTAAATCAAGAATATGAGATATATTCATCCAATTTCGTTCTAAGGTGATGAAGGACTGGTAGAAGAATTTTCCCACAATAATATAAGTAGAGCTGACGTCTCCATTGAATTTTACATAGCCTTGCTTTCCAAAAAGATGTTCTCCTTCTTCATCACCTTAAAACGAAATTAGGTGAATATATCTCTTATTAATTTACACGACGAGTATAACCCTCAAGGTCAAGCAAACTCTAAGCCTGTAGCATCATTTCGTCGGAGATTAATGACTGATTGTCAACGGTTTGTTTATCAGAGAAGGCTATTTGTGGAAAAATTCTGTGCATTTATTTTCTTTATCATGCTTTGGGGCATAGCAAATACATTAGTGTTTTTTCATTTGCCGAGACTAGGCTCAACTTCTGCTTTACGATCGTCCTGTTATATTGCCTAATGTCAAGTGTCCTCTCAGCATCTTGGTCGAGAAACTATTTGAAAAGACCCTTGTATACTGTTGCTATGCAGCTGGAATGCCTCAAGCTTCCTGCTATTTTCTTCTGCTTTACAATCATGGTAGTCATTTGCATTTGTACTTTCGGATGGTGCTCATCCGATCTTTATGGCCGGGCTACGCTTACCGGACTAGTAATCATCTCTTTTTCATCGCAAAGAGCCAACGTCTTCATGCCGTCTGAGCGCAACAGCAAATGCATGCCTCCAGAAAGGTAGCATTAGAGAATGGCTTTAATCTGACACGTTAAGCTAAAATGGTGTTGAATTTATCCTTGCTCACTGAAGCTATACAGGCGTCTCTTATTTGCTTCCGGTCCGAGAAGAAGAATTTCGATCAGTCTTGGTAACCCATAATAAAATATGTCGTTCATCCCTGCAGGAAGCAACAGCTGCTCTTGAACAGGCTAGCCAAAGTTTTCTGAGTGAAATTGGGCTGTCACAGCAGAATTCATTATATCGCATAGGCTGCACATCTAACTCACAATTTCTCAGAGTTTTATGGATGCTTCTAATACTTGCTCTGAGTTTGCGTCCAGATAGTATAGTTTTGGTACAGTAGTTCAAAGGAAAATTGGGAGATAGCTTAAATTTTTTCTGCGAACTTTTGGAATATTGTATTGTAAAACTGAAATAACTATCTTCGGAGCTATTATTAACTTGGTAAATTAGTTTATTTTAATAACTAAGCACATTTATTCATGATTACTAGTGCGTGGGTATGGAATTCCTGTCAGCAATTTTTAATTCTATATACAGGTTATGAAAATAGAAAAATGCAGATCTACCTATGGTCGTCTCTATGAGT